GGAAATAAACTTAGCAGGAGATAAATTTTACTGTTTTGACACTATTTCAACATTGTTTGACACTGTTTTGCACTGTTTTGATGTAGATAATTTGACATTTAAGAAAATAGGAAGCTAAATTAGGGACATCCTAATAAGAAAAATGAGAAGTTGTTTTAGGGACGAAAGGAGTAAGTACTTATCACTAGGTCTCAAACTTGTGCCTTACATAGTTACACGTATTGTTTTATAAGGTACAAAATCAATATTAAGAGTTTGTTTGGTAACACTGAATCTACGGGAAGTGGATAAATTAGTTAAATCTACTCAATTATGGAAAATTTATATTTAAAATATATATCAATTAATAAAATAAATATTTTTTAATGAAAATAGCTAAAATGGCTATATACACTTAATTAAGCAAGAAAAATAATTTTAATCTTAATATAAAAAATTATGTATTTAATAAAAAATGACTCATAAAAAGTAAAAACTGGCTCAAAATAAAGGTTATCAAAATACAGTTTTATTAACTGAAACTAGTGACAGGTGATGACGTGATCTGAGTTGTTTGTCACGGAGTACTTGTTAGTGCTCTTGAAAAAACTCCCATGGCAGCACTTTATTAAAAAAAAACTCAGGCACTTTATAATATTATATGCGCGAAAATGTACTCATGCTGTCATGCATATATATGTACTCCTAATTGTTGTCATTGTGAAATGTTTAAACTAATGAGTTAGGTTTGACACAATATTTAAGAGAAATGTTATAAATGTAATAAATGTTGTAGAAAAAATAAAAGAGTTAGTGAAAAAGTTTGAAATATGAACATGAAAAAGATGAAATGTAAGGGTAATTAAGTATTTTAAGAGAAAATTGTTAGACTACAACATACCACTCTTCCAAAAAAGGATGGTGTGTTTGGTTTTTCGTAAATAGCACTAAACATTCCATTTTATCCCTAATTAATTAATTAAAATTAACCCAATTAATTGCTCTCATAGTCCCTTTGCATAACTAAGGCCAGTCGATTGGTGAAAGGTCAGTCTAGTGGTGTTGGCAACTCAATGGAGGCGGCGACGGGCAGCGACAACAGCGACCAGTTTCTGTCATATTTGCGACAACGACCTGGGGGGGAAATTCCGGTGAACAAAGGTGGTCCGGCAATCTCGGGGCAGCGGAACTATTTTTGTCCAATTGCAAACAAAAGTCTTATTTATTACAGTTTAAAGGAAAAATTGAAAGCAATAATCCACATTTGACCGGTCTGCTCATAATAACCCCACTTTTACATAATCTTATAATAACTTCTTTCTTTATTTTTATCCCTAGACACTTTTTCAATCATTTTCCATCTATTTGTTTTTATTTCTTTTTCATAATTATAATTCTACTTCTCACTCTTTTTATAAGAGTTTTTTGTAAAATTTCCCTTCCGAACATATTTTTTTTCTTCCCGTATTTTTATTTCATTTCCCTTTTATGTGTTTCATTTTTTAATTATTCTCTTTTTACTCTTAAAGATCTTTTTTCCACTATACATTTTGTTATATTTTCTTTTTGTTTTCACTTTTCCTTTTTTTCTTCCTGTTACTTTTGTGTGTGTGTTTTTTCCTACTTTTCTTTCTTCTTGTTACCTTAATTCCACCATCAATATATATTTTTATCCTTTTACGCATCATCTACTTTTCTAAGTAAGTAAAAGAAAGAAAAAAACTATTGAGAAAAAGGAAAGCAAAAACATAAATAGATTAAATAAATGAAATAATAAGAAGATGAAAAAAAGAAAAAATGAAATGTTGGACTGTTTTGAGCAGATTTGTTAAATGGATGTGAAACTCTTTATATAAAGTTTTCAACGAAAAGGCAAAAAATTTGGTATAGTAAGTTATCAACCGATCAAGGTACAATGAGAGAAGGTGAGCTACAAAGGTGTGATTATTCAGGAATTATGTAAATGTGAGATTATTATGAGCAGACCGGTCAAAGGTGGGATTATTGTTGACAATTTTTCCCATTTTAAACTAGTAGATCCTGTTTTTTTAAATTGCTATATTTTTGTCCCATTTGGGTAAATCTCTGGCTTGGTTTTATGGTGATTTATTGAAAGGAGTATTTTTATAAGGGAAAGAAGTTTCAAAAAACAGAACATGACGAGTTGTGTAATATTTTCTATTCTCAAGGTCAAGACAATTATAGACATGGTATAAGGTAGAAAAACTGAGGTAGACACAAGATTTAGAGCAGGTTTTAAGGTTGTGAGTAGTATATGGATGACACCATGGTTAACATAAACACCCAAATAATTTTAGGGATGTGAAACCGGGTGGTGTATTAAACAACTTTTCATAATGATAAGTTATATCTAGCCTGAAAAAAGAGGTCGTTTCCCAACGGCATGTAGGGTTTTGGTTTCGGCCTAAATCCAGTCGTGTGGCGTTCCTATGTCTTTTGTGGAAATCCAGAATGAGGAGATAGAGAGGAAGCTTGGAGCAGCGACGAGTTTTCTGTTACGAGTTCCTTTCGATGCCTGGATTGAGTTCCTCCTTTGGCGTTGTGGGTACGGTGCAACTTCAGGATTCAAAGACACCATCGAAGTAAAGCGGCGGATCGGTCGAAATTTAGTTGGGAGGATTCCAATGGAAAATTTGGAGGAGCAATATGATCAACTCACATTAGAGGATGAAGAGAAAGAGCTGGTTTTCGATCAGGCGAGCATGGATGTAGGGGGAGAAGGAGCTCATGTAGCTTTTTCAGTGGTTGATCCAAAAAACGGGAAGAATACGGGTCCTGAGTAGTAGGTCCGCTTATGTTTGTGATGCGCTTTTGTCTTTCGCGTTGCAGTTATAACAGTCCCATTGGAAAAACTTTTATTTTAGTTATTTATATTTTGTTGTTTATTTTGATTCAGACTTTGTCTTGCTGTTATATTTTTCTGTTTCATTGAGAATACTAAGGATTAGGGTGGGTGATGATGAGACTTGTTCGATCATTTATTTTGATTCAGACTTTTTATTACTTTTTTTAAGGTGATTAACTCCAAGTCTTATTCGAGAACTAGTGATCTGTGTATGAATTTTTGTCTTGAAGTAACTTGTCTAAATTCTGATTTTATAATATGAGCCATTTACAAAAAAAAAAACTTTTCATAGGCACTAGCATTTGAAGAGGTTGAGTAGCACCCAAAACCTCAACGTGCAACACTAGTGGTAGTGGCAAAGGCTTGTTGTTAAGAGAGTATACGATCCTGATGTCGAAGATGCAGAATACGTTCTTGAGTCACGAGCATTTGACAAAGAGCATCAAAAGTGAGCTACCCAGGTGATGGATATCTGACCCCCGAGGCAGGTGGAATTTGGGAATAGAGAGGCTAAAAGTGCTAAGTAAGAATGAGTAAGAATTTGGGCGGAGTAACAACAAGTATGCGCAGAGAAATTATAGTTTGATCCTTCTCCACAAGCTCGAAGATGATATTTATATTATGAAAAACATATTTGGCCAACAAGTAAAAAATGTTATTCTATTGTGTGGAAGACACATGTAAAGTTGATTGGAGAGATAACTTGGTTGTGCGTATTGTGCATAACAGAATTGTCCTTTGTTGTACCACAACGCATGTGCGCGCCACACGTGTGTAATCCTGAATGTTTCGTGTAATAACCGCCTAGGTGACGTATGCCCTGGACAGCTGTCACGCAGGTGACATGGCCGCAGTTATGTGTGGTGCTTGATCGCTGAAATGTCTAAGTCCACAACCTCCTGATGAGGTCTCAAGCTCAGCCAGCGAGGTTGAGCTCGGGTGTAATATGCTCGTTTGGAGTGAGGCAACCTCAGTTCACTGTTTACCAAGTGGAGGTGATTTCCTCGTTCCGTTGACTTCTAGCTGTGCTAGTAGACTTTGAACTCGACTATGACGCCATATTGTAGCGTTGACCTCGGCAGGGGTCGGCCTCGACCTCAGATGCAATTTTGGCCTTATCTCGATAATCTGGGAGTCGAATGTTGGAGCCAACCTCGGTGGATGTCGAGCTCGACCTGAGTGGAAGAAAGACTTGGTACTTCAGGAGACTTCTTTATTCGTAAACGCTGATACCCCTGAGGTATATGGGAATATACTATATCACCAAGAAAGTAGGATATTGTATTGAGAAATGATTCATATTCAATACCTAAACCCATGATGGTGTATTGAATAAGATCTCAAACACTGACTGGAGTGTTAATTGTCGCAAGAGAATTTGCCATAATTTTAATCTCCCATAGATACTAGTCCATAGTGTGAGATTCTTGTTTCTTGTATTGAGATAAAAGGCGTTTGAGTTCCATAGAACGAGTGAGACTAGCGAAACATGAACCAATGCTGAAGGCAGTTCCAAATGGCATCAAAAAATTTCAGATCATACACTTCAATGAGAATATCTTTAGATAAAGTGGCAAAAATCCATGATATTACAATTTGATCAATTTTTAGCCATTGGTGATAATCGGAATTAAGAAGTTCACAGGTAGCATGATATATATAGATTAAAGGCATCGGTAGAGAACCGCCCAAATCTCCAAGAAGGCTGTGAGAATTGAAATCAAGAACGACTCAAATTGCAAACGCCATGGGAGATAGTCTTCCACGGTAGAAAGTTGAGTGGTCACAATATTCGTAACTTTAGGCACTGATAATGCAAGACTGCTTGTGACAATTGCTAAAGTAGGAACACGACCGGGTGTACTAGGGGAGATTGGTTGTCCAACGGAAGTAGGTGGCATAAAAGTAAATCTGACCTTACTTTTTCCTATTATTACACAATTCAATGCGTGAAATCAAAAGTTACGTGTTTAGTGAAATAATAGACTGATAAGCATAATAAGCCGAAAATCAATGTTACAAGCCGAAAATCAATGTTACCAAATGAGCTCTAATTGTCTTCATTTTGAAACGGAAGATTTCATTTTTCTTGATATGCATATTGTTGTTTGAAGATTTAATAGACAAAGCAAAGTCGAGCAAAAAGACAAAGATATCGGATGAACACTGAAAAAACGGTTTAGATATAAAATCATCATTACTATTATTAACTTTACGTCATCACTAATACATCAGGGGCACCAAATTAAATATGATCACATGGCAAAACACATCGGATAATAACGTTTAACTTGAAATCTATAAAGGGATACTTTTGAGTTTTGATGGATCCAGCATCCACGTATTTTTAGGACAACTTATTGAACTGGAATTCCACTCATAAAAAAAATGGCACAATAATTGACCCAGCAAACAACCCCGCGGATTGGACACCAAATTTAATTACGGACTCAAATATGGATGAGAAGATAGCGTAAATACAAAAGCCCGGCCCGACCCGGCCCGATCAGTTGACAAGCGCACAGTTTTTCCTGATCTCACCTGCACTCCCTGTCAACACATTAATCCTCCCCATTTTCTCCATAGACCTAGCAAACTCTGCTTCGAAAATCTCATTGGATCCACTGGCAAGCTGATTGACCAATGCCCTTGTGGTTTGGCTGTTCAACAGGGCCGAGTCCGACTGGAACAGCCCTCTCCTCTTCAGAACTCCCTTATAGTAGCTCAGATCAAACGTCCTGAAACTCCCTGGATCCATCTCGACTATCGTCGTGTTATCGTTAATCGACCTGCATTTCTTCTTCAGTGCCGTCGCGTACTCGCTGTCCAATGCCGGGTCTTGCGACGGGACCGTCCCCGTGAAATTGTAAAGACGGGTCGAAAACGACGAGCAATGCGACATCCCGATCGTATGAGCACCTATTAAGCCGAATTAAATTGTTATTGTCCTATACCAGATATCTTTAAAACAATTAAACAATAAGTATATGAAGATTCCTCATCTATCAAATTGACATTTTGGGATGTAATCCAGATCTTAACAAAAATCAAGAACTTGTAGCTCAAGCCACAAAAATCAAATGTAGTACTTAGTACACCTAATGAGGTTGTTGGCTTGATTAAAGTAATTCAAAATGAACCGTGTGTACGTACCGGATAATAGGACCAAGTCGGTGAGATTAAGACCCTGGTTGCTAAAGAGTGTTTGGAGGGTTGTAAAGTTGCTGGTGGGCGGAGGAATGCTGCTGGTTTCCGATGAATTGGAAACCCGGCCGTCCCGTCGACCGGTCGGAACATCCCAAGATGGCCCTCCCTGAAAATTAAAAATTATCATCTTTATTTGTTAGCACCACGTAATCCCGACTTTGTCGCGCACTACTCCAGAAAATTGTGAAATAATAAAATTCTATATTAAGAGCATAATTATAGGAATCTTCCTATCAAATTGACGTTTTATGATGAAATCTCATAGAAATTTCATTAATGAAAGTAAATGAATCAGTTTTTTTATGGTTTAAGAGACTTACAATGGCGACTACAGAATCCCTGGCGACCAAAGCAACAATATCTGCACAGGAGACTTTTTGAGGGCATTCAGCTTCCACGATGCTCTTGACCCGGTCAATAAAGTCAAACCCCCTCAACGTCTGGTTCGGAACAGCGACTTTCTCCGTCTGGTTTCCGGTGCTTGATGTGAAGTTCAAAAGCACAGATGCGTCGCAGCCCTTCATCATTAAGGCATTTTCTTCTCAGTTCAGACCGACAAATTAGGAAAAAAAAACAAGACCAAATAGACATTAACATCATCAATGACGTGCTTAATTACGTACCCTGACAAAGCAATCGTGGAAATGCATTCTGAGTAAAGGAGCTGCTAAAGTTGGAGTCTTTGAAATGTGGTCGTGGACAAAGTCGCTGATGAGCTTCTCAGCTCTGGGACATGTTTTGCTGTAGAAACCTTCCTGCAACTGAGAGCAGACAGAGCCAGATATTCCAAAAATACACAGAATCATAACCCAGAAAGAGCCCATTTTTTCAGACTCAAAATCTCTTTCTTCAGCTCTTAGCACTTCCTGTACTTTTGCACAACCGACCCAGACAGTGAAATCAATTTAAAGTTTGATTTTTTTACAGATGGATCGCATCCCATCGCAATGATTTATAGGCACTGTAATGACAGTGTCGCGACGCGCGGTGTTACTGTACTACGCGCCACGCGCTCTAGCTAGCTTAGCGCCGTAGTTAACCACATGTGACATGTCATTTAGTACTGGGTCTCATAATTGTATGATTCCCATTCTTTGACGATGTCGTATGCAATTAGCCAAACAACAGGTTGCACGACATTTTTTGAAAAATAGTCGGTATATGTAACCCAGTTTAGTAATTGTCTAACTAATATTCAAATAGAGTTGAAATTCTTAATAATTGTAAGAAGTCCCTCCATCCCCGTAACTTTTCACATATATTATGTAAATAAATTTACTGGGAAGTAAATTTTACTGTTTTCACACTTTTTGACACTTTATGGACACTGTCACTGTTTTGCATTGTTTGACACTGTTTCGATGTGGATTATATGCCAAATAAAGAAATGTATTGAAAGACAATCTTCATTTAGGGACTGCCCAAAAAGGAAAGGGGGAACTTGTTGCAGGGACGGGGGAGTATAAAATATATTTTATTAATAAAATAAAGAAAAATTATACGTAAAAACATCTAAAATGATTCTCTTTAGTAACTTTAGCCAAAATAGCCAGAAAAGTAACTCCAACTTGACTTTTTCTTATTATTACACATTTGAGCACGCAAAATCAAAATTTACGTGTTTGCTGAAAAAGTTGGCGGATAAGCATGATAAATCGACTAACAGTGTTACCAACGGGCTCTGAACCTATAAACACTAAATAAAAAAATTGGGATGCGTTGGGTTTGAAATTTGGAGTCAAACCCAGCCCCTACATCGATTTGTCCTTGTTTACGCGAGCATCAATGTGCATCGGGGTGCCCATTTTATCCTACTCCCTTCGTCCCTAATAACTTTGCCAAGTTTGACCGACACGAGGATTAATATCGTAAAAACTGTGTGATTGAAGTTTGTGCAGAGGAGAGAGAATTAACTGGAATCACAAATTCTTTACTTAAATGGGAAAGTGTCAAAGTTAATAGGAGTATGAGACATCCAAAAAAGGAAACTTGGAAAAGTTATAAGGGACAGAAGGAGTATTATGTATTCACTCAATCTCATTGAAAGGTTCTCGTCCACTATTCTCGAGTCAGCGTCAATTGTTCTTAATGTTTTACTTTATACTCCGTATATCCAACTTTTATCGAATATTATTTTTCTATTCGCAACATTATAAAACTTTTAATGTAGTGTCTGAATATGTAAATTTTATTAACTAAAAATAATCTTATTAATGGAAGGGATCGATTAACTTAATCACCAGTCAAACATCATAAACCGCGTGAGAATCTTTAAATGGAGGTGTATTTTTGAACTAATCTGATTTAAATCTCCATGGTTTGATGTGAAACATTTTTATATGATCTCAATTCATCGGGAAAAAATCATAGGATTACATTGTTTCAATTATGGGCGTACAAAAGAGAGCTAATCTAGATCGGGCCAATTTCAATTTTCTATTTCCACTTGTAACTTTAATTAAATATAAATATTACGGAGTACTATTCTCGATCTCAAAATAAACTTCATAAATTTCACTCTTTGATTTTATGGCAAAGAACCTTTGGTTCTCGATATTTCTCTCTTCCAGACAACTTTTGGCAACACAAATTTCACTTTCTTAATTCTCCTGCCAAGTTAAAACCAAAGTTTATTACTACCTCCGTCCCATTTTATCTATCTTCTTTGCTTTTGACATAAATTTTAATGAAGTGGTTAAAAAGGTAAAAGTGGTGGTTGAGATTTGAGTATTATAAAGTGAAATGATGTGGATCACATATTTCTTTCCAAAAAGGGAAATGTGACACTTATTTTGGGACAACCCAAAAAGGAAAATAAGACAGGTAAAATAGGACGGGATGAGTATAAGGCAAAGGGAGTATGAGGTAACAAATTATACTACGTATTAAATTATAGTTAAGAAATACTCACTCTGCATTTAAGATATCACCATATTAGGTATTGACACAATATTTAAGAGATAAATAGTAGAGGTAATGAATATTGTACAAAATATAAGACAGGGTGTGAAAAAGTAGGAAAAAGAGGACAAAAATCCAAAAAAAATAAGGGTAATGGGGTTTTTTTTTAAAGGAAAAACTTACTGAAAAAGGAAAATGCAGTAAACTTTTAAATACGGAGGTAGTAACCAGGATCAGTAATAAATATTTTAACAAGTGGAAAGTAGTTAAACCAAGTCTTTGCCACATTGATCACATAATTCATTCATCATATTGTAAAACCATTCTCAAGTCTTTGAACCAAAACTCCTCTTTGTTTACTTTTATTTGAAACGTTACAGACATTTAAAGATTATTCATTTTCATGCGGATACAAACTCTACTACGTTATACTATTAGAGTTAGTGCTAGTGGTGAAATATATATTCTTGAGGCACAATCGACTTAAAGGCGATAAGCCGATAATGGTGCTAGAGATCGGCGTAGATCTTCCCACAAGAGGCAGTGGCCGACTGGCCGCGATGATGAGATGGTAGCAGTGGCGGCAGTGCCAGAGGGTGGCGCGTGTACGTGGTGCTCTTGCTGAAAGGGTAGTGGGAGCGGAGGAGAATGTGGGTCCGAGTGAAGGTATACTGAATTTTTAATTTTTTAAATATAGGTATAGAATTAGAATTTTCATTACGGGCAATCACCAGTGAAAACATTGACATAGTATATTCTTAGGGAACATAAGTTCATGATGGTATGCTTTTTGAATGTAAATTGCCAATGCTATTGATTTAAATTGCATCGCTCACAATGCAATGATCTACACGAGTCGCAGATCACTTAGGATAATCGATGAAAATATTAGCTTCATGCAGAAAAATATGTCTAATATCCTCAATAAGATAGAGATATTTACTTTAGGTAGTATCTATTTTGGCATCCACATTGATTTTGACAAAACCTACATCATGGCAGTTTGCTTGCTTGATTGTATGCTTTTCCATTGTTTTGTTCCTAATTGTGTGTTTCTGATGGTTGCTACTATTAAGTTTTTAGCAAATACTAAGAGCCTGTTTACTAACAGAGATATTTTCCAGTTTTCCAGAAAATTGGAAAACTGGAAAACAGAAAACAGGAAACGTGTTTATCTAAGAAATTGCTGGAAAACTGAAGAAAGGAAAAAAGAAAAACGCGTTTACCAAATCGTTTTCCAAAATAGAAAAAATGAGACGTGTCTTTCTTTTCCTAAAGGATTTGGAGAAGTGACTTTTACTAGTTTTTCAAATTTGGAAAACGCAGATGGTACAGTGTCGGTGCAATAAATTTGCATACTTAAACCTAGTGGCGGGTTCGGTCCCGCTCCGACGTCGATTCCATTCCGGTACCTCCATCCCCGTACCTTACCCCTTACCCCCTACCTCGTCCCCACCCCACCGCCATCCTACCCCCACCCTCGTACCGCCATCCTACCCCCAATCTTCCGCCATCCTACCCCTACCACCATCCTACCCCCCAACCTACCCTTCCCCTACCTCGGCCCCACCCGGATCCCGGGCCCACCCTACCGCCATCCTATCCCAACTCCTTACCATACTCCTTCCTTACCCCAACCCCAACCCTACCCACTACCCCCCCACCCTTACCGCCATCCTACCCCCACCCTACCCCTTCCCTACCTCGGTCTCGCCCTGGTCCCGGCCTCACCCTACCGCCATCATATCCCAACTCCTTACCCTACCCCTACTTTACCCCACCCCCACTACCCCTACCCACTACCCCTAACCATGACCCTAACCCACCCAGTACCCCCACCCAACCCCCTACCCCTAGACCTTACCACCCCACCCCGACCATACCCCTTATCCCTCCTCCACCCATAACTTCCCGACCCCTATGAGTAGGTATGGGTGGGTATGAAGGGTTGTGGGGGAGTATGGGTAGAGTGTAAGATCATGACAAGGGTAGTGGGTAAGGGTCAAAGGTGTGGAATTCGAGAACTTGGTGAAAAAATTGATGAACATGTTTTCAGATTTGAAAATGGAAAACTAAAAAATAGAAACAGAAAATTGGAGATAGAAAAACTGAAAAATAAAAACAGAAAATTGGAGAACGAAAAACAGAAGTTGAAAACAGGAAAATATCTTTGTTAGTAAACAGATCCTAATTGTTCCTTCAACATGAGCGTGTGAGCTCGAACTAATGGTCTTCAAAGTGGGAGATCACAGGGACATATCTCACAAATTGAGCAAGAAGTCATTGCCAAGACAATAGTGCTGTCACCTATTCCCTATCGAGAGAACGTAACATAAGGTTTAATTTTCAGAATAAGCTTAAGATTAAAGTTGAAAATGTCATTGTTGTACAAAGTCAACACTCAAAAGACTTTAACGAAAATAAGAAAGAGATATTTACTTTAGGTATGACTAAACTCCATCAATTTCTCAATCTATGACCTTATTACTTTTTTTTTTTACTAAAATAATACCAAAATTCGTACTAATCTATATCTATATTTATATCTATCTATCTATAATACATTTCAAAGATATAAATATAGAAAGTTTTACCATGTGTCATCTTCTAAACAAGCCTTAATAATAATAATAATTAGGCTCCGTTACATGCACTAGACTTTAAGTTAGATTAGAATTCATCAAACGTTAAGTTAGTTTATTATTAGATTAGAATTAATAAACGTTTAGAATTCATTAATTTAAGTCATCTTCTACGTAATTCCTAAAACATAATTCAAAAAATCCTAACACATTCTCAAAACTTCCAAAAATTACAGTGGATTAGAATTCATCAAACGTTAAGTTAATTTAGAATTCATCAAGTCATTTTCTTTGTAATTCCTGAAACATAATTCAAAAAACTTTCCTAACACATCCTAAAAATTTCCTAAAGCTACAGTGGAATATGTGTTGCTAAAGTTGTTGAAAATTTGTATTTACAATATATTTTGTTAATGAAGTTAATACAAAAATATATGAAAAA